GCCTGTTCCAAAAATTCAGGCATTGTGAAACAAATACACACAATTACAAGATGTGATCATTTTTCCTCTCTGAATTAAACTGAAGTACCTGGATAACTTTTAGTTAGTTTACTCAATTATTCCTCATTCCCTGCAATACTATTTAAATATAGTTTTAGCAATGTATAAAATACACAATGAATGTTTTATTTAAAGGAAAACATGAACATACAGAGGTAAAAGGTCTAGCAGGATATTAAAGTAAAAATAAAAAATATGACCTTTAAAAGAGGCAAAAGTTTCAAATGACTAAATTGTTTCTGAAGAATCTAATAGTCAAAACTCAGCTGTGCAAAAACATTGTGAGCTTATTCACATGTAGAACACCTAAAGGGCTAAAAGAAATATTCATAGAAACAAATCATTAAATAAAAAATTCTACCTAGTTTCACTTTCCAATATAAGTAGACACAGTATATTCTATATACATAAAATACCATAGCTCTGAATTCCAAATATTAATTAAAATCTCTCTTTGTTGAGAAAAAAAAAATCTAACCATTCTGCACAGGTACACTCATTCACACCAAATGATCTCTTATTTGATGTTTATTAAATGTTATTAAATATTTAGGATTCCATTTGACTAGAGACATTACAGATATCAGTAATACCAAGAGAGTAAGTGTGAGATAAACTCATTCAATTATGGTCCTTGAATAATTCATGCATATTTTATCCATTCAACAATTATTTGTTGAATGTTTCCTATGTGCAAGGTACTGTGTTAGGCACTGGGGTAGTTACAAAGAAGATTAGAACAGATATCCACTGTCTAATTAGGGACAAAGACCTACAAACAAATCATTGCAATTGGAATTAAGGTATGTGTGAAGAAATATGGAATAGGAGTGGAGAAAGAACAGAAAATCTATCCTGCAGATCACTGCTTTTTCTTATGGCTATGATTAGATAAAAGTATAAATACATTTTAACATTTCTAAAAACCAAGAGCTTGCCTTAACCTATAGGTGCAATAGCCACATAAGTTCCCTCTTCTTCCCTTATTTCCTATGTCCTTACAGATGAATAACCTGCTAGGGGTACTAGTTACCTATTTTAAGTTTTTAAAAGTATAAATTTTTGTGAATGAGGAAGACATGTAAAGGTTTTGGGCTTCCCTGCTTTGAGTTCACTGCTATATTTCTTCTCTTTTCTGCCATATCCCGTATCAACGAGCAGGATATGAGCAGTCCTTAGCCACTGGCTTCTCCTGGATCTCCCTAAGGCTGGCGAGCCATTACTCTAGAAATATCAGGAGTGTCAGCTGAAGGGTCAGGAGGGTGTTGGGCTGAACCTCTCATTGAGTGATAGCCCCTTATCTATCACCCTGAGTTGAGATAGTGATAGCAAGATAAAAAAAAATGAGTCACTTGGGGGAAGAGTCAAGTAATTTACCAATACTTCACAGTATTTATACAACTTGTGTTAGCTTTTGAGCCATAGACAAATATTTCAATTAATAAACACATCTCTAAAACTTCAGCAGCCAGCATAATTTAGTTAAGCTTAACAAACAAACCCACTCACAGTCTTGCCCCAACCTACATTTCCAGCCTTCTTGCCTGCCATTTTCACCCACATACTTTTTGATTCCTGTCTCACTGAGTCCATTCTATATTCCCTAGAAGCATCCGTCATCTCATGATGTGTCTTTCTAAAATGCTATTCCCTCACACTGGAGTACTCCTCTTCCCCTGTCAATTATTTTCTTTCAGCCTCTGAAACTCAGCTCAAACACTGCTCCTTGGCAAAGCCAATAACAATACATTGTATTGTTAATAACTTGTGTTAACATGCTTACCTACATCTTTATGAATCTGGTAATTTTTCTGTTTCTTGCTTCTAGACTCTAGGCTCTCTGGGAGTGAAAAATTCTGTTGAGTTCATTTCCATTTTCCCCAGTACCATGCATTGTATGCCAAGAAGGTATCATTAATTGGTGAATCACCAATACTTTGCCAAAAGTAAGTATCTAAGAAGTGTGTTGTAAATAATTTCAGTCAGGACTTCCTAAAATCTATTTCATCTGTGCTCAGTAAGTCCAAATCTGGAGCTGAAGCTGAGAAGAATAAGGGCCTTTTTCAGAGTCCACTACTAGTTTTTGGGGGGGTCCATTTGATGACTGTTGAATCTACAATGTTCACCACAGTAATGACATCTGAACCCTATAACCACTAGTACTTGTGCCAAAATATCATTTCTGCCTCATCATAAAGTTAACATGGAAACTATCTTCTTTGAGATACTGTACAAATAAATATCTCAAAGTCTGGCTCCGTTTTGTACTGCTTTCCCATATTCAAAGAGTCCATTGTGATATTATTCACAAAAATACTTTGTGTTGACGTGAAAAATACATTGCTGATTAGAAGTATGTCTAGTTAAGTGATGTAAGTCACATTAGCTATTGATATCACATGGAAATTTAGAAATACATGTACTTCTATAGACATGTAAGTACTGCAGTGCCTCATTTAGCCAGCATATTTTGGTTTCTCTTAAAAGTGTATAAATTATTTATCTACCATGATCAAAGAATGAGGTACTTCAGAAACCAGACTTTTCTGAATAATGAGTTTTATAAATGTCATATGTCTTCAAAGTTTTTAATATTCTCAGTGGATATATATCCATAATATGACACAGTTCCACTTTTTTAAAAAAACAACACAACAAATATAATCTCACTTTTTCTTGATTCAGGATCATTATTATCAATGTCAATTTCTAATTTTTAATATTCTCAGTGGATATATATCCATAATATGACACAGTTCCACTTTTTTAAAAAAACAGCACAACAAATATAATCTCACTTTTTCTTGATTCAGGATCATTATTATCAATGTCAATTTCTACAACACGTGCCATCCTGGAATACAATGGTATTCTTAAGGGCTATTGATAAATGTTAAGGCTGTTTGCCTTTATCCTAAGTGGAATCAGATTGTTTTTATGATTCCCTGCTTTTCATTTTCTCTGCCCGCCCCCTCTACTCACTGACTTCTGACGTAATCAGTGTGTTCTGATGGTTATTTTTCAGAAAACTCTCTAGGTGAGGGCCTGTGAATGGTTATATTCTTCTAGAGAGCTAAGTGAATGGGCTTTGCGACTGCAATTTGCTAGTCAGAGGCTCCTTCCTTCCTTCATTATTTCTAAATGCATGAAGTGGCTGAGACTGTCAGAAGACTAATAACTGAGTACATAGTTTGTAAGTACTACTAGCTTTCATGTATATCCACCTTTGCTGTATAAGTTTTGCTCAAGAATGATTAGACTTATTCTTAAGATAAATCTTAATTTATCATCTTATTGTTTAAATATAAATGAAAATTGATGAAATAAGTGAAAATAAAAAAATTATGGTTCTTAATTAATTCAAATTAATTCCTAATTAATTTAAAGGCTATGAACTTTAGACTTACTATAGGACCATTGGTAACTTCAATGTTACCAATATTCCAGAGGGATATTCTTCTATGGTTATTAACTTTTTAAAAACAAAGTTAAGAATTCACCATTTGGTTCCAGCATGATGGTATGAAAACTTCAAATTCTAACTCAATCCTTTTCACCAAACTGTACATGAATACTTCCATTATAATGATCTCTGCTTCATCAGGAAAACAAAAAAGAGGAGGGAAAAAAATGCTTTTTTCATTTATGAAAAAAATAAAATAGGAAATAGGTAGCTGTATCTATGGAACAAAGAAATTTAGTAAAAGGCTCTAAATCTAATGTTTTTAAATTCCTGTCATAATTTTGTTAGAATATTAATATCTAACACTCTCACTTGTGTTCTTTCAAAATGACAAAGTTTGTAAAAATTTGAAAGGTGTCAAACTCTACAACTTATCCACAAACTCTACAAGGTCATGATATAGGACAAGGGGAAATCTAGTTCTTCAGGATTAGTATAATATAAAACAACTATTTTGGTTAACTTACATGTGAATGTCAGCTTATATAGCCCAAAAGATCAGTTCTACTTAAAAGGTCATCCCAATTAAAAAAAAAAAGCATCAGAATAAGAAAAAGAATACGCCATATTAACTTGGCTGAGTTAAGAGAAACCACCTTTTTTTTCCAGATAGAAACGTCTATTTCTACTTTATACTAATTTTCATTGTATGTAGAATAATGACCAACCTCATGAAGCAATTATTTTCAAGCTTAATAGTTAATTTTAATAAAATGATATGATGAGGAAGTAAGTATATTTTTTATCCAATAAACAAAGAGAAGAGATAACTTAAAATCTGGGTTACTCAAAGTTATATCAAAAAGGTCCAAACCAGGCCTTCAACTGGTAGTAAGCTGACTTGATCACATATGGCCCTTCCAGCTCAGCATTCCATTGAATTTAATACTGATTCTTAGTACCACCTGGTCAGTTTAAGGAGTTATTTCTTTCAGGGTATTTCTTAAGCACCCAGAAGTCATCTAAAAGATGGCTTAAGCAAAGCACAAGCCAAGTCTCAGGACCGGAATTCACAATTGTCTAATTCTCTGTGAATTCGCTCTGCAGTTTTATGAGTCTCATCACTCTCTGCTATGGTCCAGCTCTGGAAAATAAAAAAATCATATCCCCATCCCTAAAAAAAGATTCCCACCAGTACCTTAACAGAATTGTGATAGGTTTTAGCTAGCAACTTGATAAAAGGATACTGCAAAGATTTGCACTCTATAGTTCAAAGGAATTTGAATTGAATGCATTTAGTTGTATATTTTGGAAATATCCCACAAGTAAAAAAATATTCCCTAAAACCTAATAAACTTTATACTGGAAGTAGTAGACATTAACCACAGTTAATCTACACAAGTTGATAACTGTCACTTAACTTCAGTATTATAAAGAAATTCTTGAGAAGCAAAATGTTTGGATTCCTTAAGCTGTCTCAACTTTAAGAAGAAAGGAGAAAAGTAAGACATTCTTTTAGAGAAAAAAAAAAACTTACTGGTACTTTGAAGGGTGAGGTATTTGCAGTGTCCATGGAGTTGGGTTTCTCTGATGTACTGGTCCCTGAGATACTCCGTCTTCGGGGGGACCTTTCTGCTGGCACCTCTGGACAAGAGAAGAAAGTTGAAACATCAATAAGAACCCAACATTCAGGGCCTTTCATTAAATTGTAAAATTATTTATTTTCACAAAAACTCAGTTTGCTTTAAAGGTGCATTACATTCTGTCATCTCCACATAATTTGTCTCTTTATCTTTGTGGTGTTTGAACTATCAAGACACTAGAGAGACCTGGTCACAGTTAAGAATCTGCTTTACAGTGATAGCTTATATCTTTATCCATGCACATATAAAAAATAATTTTCACTGTTTAATACCTTTAAGTTCACTTAATATTTGCATCTCACACAGTATATGAATCTATTTCTCTATCTGTGAGAAATTTAGGAGTTATAGGATAAAATGAAATTTCTAATCTTGTGAACAAAATATAGTCTAGTGTTGCACATGATTTGATAGTGTTTGCACAAAGGTCAAAGTTCGGTTCTGTGCAGATAAGATGATTCACCAGACTGCAATGAAAGGGCCGTGAGAAGACTGAAAGTGGCTGCCAGGATAAAATAACATATATGCCTATGCAGATATAAAAATAGATCAGCTTCTCCTTGTTCTGGCAATATGACCTTACTAAGATCTTATTCTGGAATCCTAAATCTGTTCAAACTAACCTAACAAGCTTAGGATTTTGCAGATGATTTGATCTTCTCCAATTTAATTACTATATACTGCATTAAGGCTACATTTTAAGATTTTTCATAGAGTGATATATATATATATATATATATATATATATATACACACACACACACATATATATGCACATACACATGCACACACAGATGATAGATATATACATATTATACCTTTATCACAACTGCTTCCCATCTCCACTTCAACTGACAGACATATAGGAATCCAGCTTCTTAGATAACATTAGATAATCTCAACATGGACAAGGAAAAAAAAACCACATTCTAAAAAAAGTATTCTGTGTTATCTTCCAGATCTTAAAAAATAAGGAGTAAATCCTAACTCCGGAGACTGACATTTTGATTCCTGTTGTTCTCCCTTTAAAAGACAGATGCAGTTTAAACTTCCATTTCTGGCCTCCTGGCCCCTGGGATCCGTGCTACTTCCACTTAAGAGAAAGCGTTTTTTCTCTCGCTCCCTCCCTGTGTCTTGCTCTTCCCCCTCCCTCTCTACAGCTTGCAGAGAGAGCAGGCGAGAAAGAAACACACAGGACTGCAGCTATTCAATCAATCCTTCCGACTGCACATCCTCATTAGTTACTTTCAGACTATTAACAGATGCCCAACCACTGCCTCCCCTCAGTCACAGAAAATTTAACTGTATTACACTAATCTGCAGCAAGAAAAAGCATTTACTGAAATTTATATTCAGCTAGTGCCAAAAGGACACCATCTTACACAGACCTAGTAATGCACACAAATCAATCCCTCCTATGAAATCCAGTTGGAAGTGCTTATCCTATTAGTATCGTTGCATGCTGGACACTGATTTTCTCTTCCATAACTAAACATACCTTCCTTATGACATCTTGACCACTAAGATACACATCAAATTGCAACATTCCTAATAACTGAGAGGTTGACAACATAGTGTCTTATATGCCTGCAGTACAAGAGAGTTCCATGCTATTACTGTACTTTAAAATTATGGCCAATAATTGTCTTTCAACTTCTCTCTAACCATCAGTGGTTAAATGAGCCTTAATGTACAAAGCCATTTTCAGAATTAGGCACACATGACTTCTAACGCACATCTCTGAAAAATGGCAGTATAATTAGCTCAGATTCATAGGAACGGCACAAAGCACTGAATTTAAGCAAATCAGCTAGTCAGAGCACATTGAGCAGCAAGACCTTCAGACTTCAGGAATATGACTGTACAGGGTGATTATCCAAGTTAGGCAATTCTGTAGGAGGGGGTGGGGAGCAAGGCAGGTGGGGAGAGGGGCTAGTGAGGTAGAAGAAAATCTCATCTTTCTTCTGATAATTACCCATAAAGGTAACCTCATATCAAATTAGAAGACACAGGAGATTGAATATCATGATGCAGTACATTTTAATCTCTGAATAACGGACAGAAACCAAATTGGGAGAAAAGTAAGATTCATTAGCTAGGATAAAAAGATCTAGTAAATAGTTTCCTTAATTTGCAATGTTCTGGCTAAGGAAAAATATTGAAACTTATTTCCTCACTTTCTTCCAAACATCTAATTTTAGTTTTCAGGCATATAAATACATTAAATAAATATATTTCAATGCTTCTAACTATTTGAAATTACATTGGCTAAAATGAGCAATCACATTTCAAAGTGTAATAAATATAGCATTTGTGGTACTTTTTTTTCTCTCGTTTAGATTCTTTCCGTATCATGAAAAAAAATCACAACTCTGATATAGCTTATAAGACATTATTGCATCCAGAAAGAAGAAATTAAATTATCCTTTAAGTTTGCACACTTGCCACTAAAAAGGGGAAAGGAAATGAGGTAAGCTAAATCAGCTAATGAAGAGGAAGTACTTTTCACTATGTCGCTTTTTCAACCCCTTTGACAATGCAATTTATTTGCTGATGTAGAACAGGTCTTTGAAATATCCAGGTTCTTTAGTTCTCAGAAGATTCATAACTAATTCAAAGCAGAGAGAAAAATATATACCTCAAGAACTAATGTCCACTTAGAAACAAGGTAGCAGCATTAGTAAGAACAAAATGAAGAACCTGCTGGAATAGTCACAGGTAGGCCTGCGTATTAAACTGGTCCATCTACCTTTAACTTTAAATCTCCAAGCAGAAAGGAAAGCTTCTATTATGCTCTTAAAGCTACATTTCTGCTGAGTTGGAAGGAAAATCTGTACTAGTTCCAGAAGGCCAAAAATTAGACAGCTGTCTCCCCTACCCCTACTCATGCTATGTCCTATTTTTTTCATCTGCTATTAAATTAATGTTCCTTTCATAGTTGCAATATTTAATTACAGTCATTTTTAAATATGCTCATCTCTAAGACTAAGGCAAGAAACATACAATATGGTTTCAGTAGATAAAGGTCTAAAACTGCTTTGCTCATTTTCTCATCCTCTAAAAATGATATTTTTCATCTTCGGAGTGAAAGGCAAAAAATGTTATAACAAGCCTGGTTAAGTTTCAAATTTATCTCTTCATTTCCTTTGCTATTGGGTATGAACTGAGACGAGGTGATGAGTTACAATGATGAGAGAACCTCCAACACAGCTCCATATAGGATGATATATTGAACAAAGAAAACATTTGAGTGCTTTTCTTTTTCTTTCTTTTTTTTTTTTTTTTTTTTCCTTTTTGAGACCGGCTGCACCGCGCTCAGCCAGTGAGCACTGTGAGCGCACCGGTCATCCCTACATAGGATCCGAACCCACGGCAGGAGCTCTGCTGCGCTCCCAGCGCCACACTCTCCCGAGTGCGCCACAGGCTCGGCCCCTTGAGTGCTTTTCTTAGCAGTTCTACCAACTATCTGTATGATTCGGTGTAAGCTATTTCACCTTTCCTGTGCTAGTCTTCATCATTTAATTATTTGAATTATTCAGACCAAGCAGAGATGAAGATAAGACTAATGAGTTTATATACTTCGATGCTAAATTAACTGTTTGGAAGGAAAAGGCTCTCTAAATCCAAAGTGTAGTAGTATTTAAAATGTCATTTCCTCAACATACACATTTTTCCCTTGTCAGTGTTCTTTCTTTGAAAAGTGTGACAAAAAAATTGAAAACTGGGTAATTATATGGGCAAAGATACTTTTGGCAGAGGATGGCCTGTTCAACAAACAGAAGTCAACCTCTGCTGTAGAACCTAATAGTGTATTCATGGCCTTTAGTTCACTTACCGGGGAGCAAATGTCAAAAAATTCCTAGATCTCTTGTAAGAAAAGGAAATAATTATATATTGGGGAGAACCCTAAGGAGTAGTTTCCTGTGAGACAGTCGATTCTAAATTATTATTTTCTTCTTTTAGCATTTCTGCATTTTTCTAAAGTTTTACAATAAAAACTATTGCTATAATTTTTTTCCTTTAAAAATACAGTATTAAAAAAAAATCACAGGTTACCATTCCCCACATAGTATCTTCTATCCCTGCAACTGACATGTGATAGGTGCTTAAACAATATTTGTTAAATGAATAAATACAAGAATGTATTTAAAATAAAAAACAGTACCATAAAATATAAAAGAATTTAGTTCTTTTAGCTTTACCTTCCATAGACAATTTTGATGAGCCAAAGAATTTTATTTGCCCAACTACTCACACCTTGAGGTTACTCAAATGCTATAGCTCACCAGTGCCATGGCTCTTTTTGACGTGCATAATGATTTACTGTTCCTTTTAGTATTTGGACATGTAATTTCTGGTATTTTTCTTTAAAATTCAACATACGTGCCACATTTCCCCTAAACACTGTGAGCTAGTCTTGAGACCAGATATTTGAGGGCAGGGTAGTTATTGCAGTTCTTCTATAGCTACTATCACCAACATACCTCTCTTATGACTTATCCCCTCCCACCACCCTAGGCCTACCCAACTACTACACACTTAGCTGAAGGAATTTAGAAAATACTTATGAAATTCTGTAGAAGTCCAATGACTGCTTGTGAAATCACATTTCTTAATGAGCTGAAATGATCAGTTATGTGTGTGTGCACCCATATACGTGTGTGTACTTATATTACATAAGAATTCATTCATTAATTCAACTAATATTTACTGAGTGTCTACTATGAGTTCAGATCAAGGAGACCTGGGTAAACAAAATAGAGAAATGTCTCTGCCTTCATGAACTTATATGACGTTAGGGAGGCAAACAATCTTCTAACAATGTTAGAAGGTGATAAGTGTTTTGGCGGAAATAAAAAGTAGTAAGAGAAATGAAGAGGTATAGGAATTTTTTTTTTTTATTTCGTTAAATTTTTATTTTGTCAATATACAATGTATATGATTATTATGGAGGTATAGGAATTTTAAAAAGATAGTTGCGTTGTGAAGGTGTGGTGTGAGCCAATACTTAAGAAGGTAAGAAAGTATGCAGATTTATCAGGGAAGAAGACTGCAGACACAAGGAAGCTAGTACAAAGCTACATGTAAGGACTTCAACTTTTTACTCTGAAGTGAAAAACCATCTGGTCAAACATACTTCACCAAAAGGTTCAAATCACATAGAAACCCCACAGAGACACACGTTCTGGTATTTTCTGAATTATTTTCTTTTCAAGATTTTGAGCAATGAATGTGACTCAAAATAAATCTGGAATATTATCATGTTTGGAATAGAGTAAAGGGAAGTGTTCATCACATTAACTGAGGGTTGGGTTCCAAAAGCCTCTGAAAATACCTTAAATGAGAAAGGTATCTGTAATATAATATCATTATGGTCAAATATCCATAGACATCAACTAAATTTACTTTTTGTTAAATCTCATTTAACCAAAATTCAGCAGGACAGGTGAACAAAATATAGAAAGATATTTATAAAGTTTTAATTTGGTGGACAATGGTGTAAGAAACCAAAATTCTCAAGTTATGACAGACCAGAAAAACATTACATGTTCATAGATGTAGTCACTTTGGCATATGTGAGTATATTATGTCTAAACACTTCACATTATTAGCAACCAAAGACAATTCCTAGTAATTCTGTGTACAGAATTATAAAATATGAATAAATGTGAACGCTTTGCCAATTATAATTATTCATGAGCCCCTTTAATATTTTTGATATTGTACTTAGGAAACAAGTTTCTAATATTATTCTCAAAAGGAGGATTCTTCAGTTCACTTCAAAAGCCTTTTTAAAAATCAATAACATTTCAACAAAGCATGATAAAAAATTGAATACACACCAAACTACGTTTATGTATCCATTCAAGTCATTGGAATTTTGGTGTGTATAGTGT